CTGTATTTTGATCTATATAAACTGATTTTGTGGTATGTCTAGAAAATGAAGTCGCGATTTGATTGATTAGAAGTGAATGATTAATAATTCGAAAAAATTTTTATACCTTTATTTGATTTATTAAACCTAGATTTTAATGTCTATTTCGACTTTGGCATAGATAAAGAAAGAAGATAAATCATTGCAAAAGATTGCAACGTGTTTCTGTCGGATCGCGCCGTCTTTGCCCCTTATTTTGAGAAATATATTAATTAATTACAGTTTAATTTCAGTACGGAGAGTCTTGGAATATAATATCCCTGCGATGTCTGGCGTTTTAATTAATCTCGTCTCGACGTCTCAATTAGATGCTAAATATTCCTGAAATATTTATAGAATGTTCTTGATATTCCAAAAAAATATTTCATGAAAAATTTGCGTCAGCAGCTGAGTATTACGATCAGTTTTAATTAATATAATCTCATCACTAATTTTCTGGCATTTCAGCAAGGAGTGAAAAAGTTTCATGTTGTTAATGCCGTTTTTTTGCACATAAAGAAATTAATTTCAAGCTTCTTCAATTTATTCAAATTTCAATTTATTTTGGAATAGAGGGTAATTAGTCCCTATTTAGTGTGTCTGTACGTTTTAATGTACTTTTATATTTAAATAAGTCATAAAAATAAACTGGTACAAGTAAATAGACAAAGTGTTTTTTTTATTAAGTTAAAGTATTAACTTAAAATAAACTGGTACAAATAAATAGGCAGTGTTTTTTTTAATACTTTAACTTAATAAAAAAAAACACTTTGTCTATTTATTTGTATCAGTTTATTTTAAGTTAATACTTTAACTTAATAAAAAAAAACACTGTCTATTTATTTGTAACAGTTTATTTTTATGACTTATTATAAAAGCACACTAATAGGTACAGTTACCCTAATTCTGGCGATGTTCGTGTCTCTTATCTCGCTATAACAACTCAGATCACTATAGGTATCCCGAATTTTAATTAATAATCACGAGTCTATAATTTTTGTGGATATTTCGGCAAGGATTCGCGTTTTCCGTCGGACTGACAGACTGACACCGCCAACAATAAATATGTAACTTCTGTCGCTACTCGAGATTCGAGAAATGCAGAATTAATTTGAGAATACTTACAGAGTTTTTTTTGAATAATTTTGACGATGCTTGATCGCGTCTTATCTTGCCGACTCGAGACGCGATTGGACGCAATATGCAATATAAATATTGACGATAGTGGAGCCGTGAAGAGCGCGAAGCGTGAAGGGAATCGAGCAGAACTCTGGTTGCGTGACAGGTTAGGTTCTTGTGAAGCGATGCGAAAAATGACTCGACAGGAGATAACCTGGATTTAAGCCGGCGTGCCATATGTCGAGGGGAGGCACGAGGTGATCCCGACGAATTTTAGACGCCGCGGAAGAGAGAAGGGAGGAGATCTCACAGGTGCCGGTCGGTTTCGTTGCTTTTGTTTTGCCACGCAAGGTAAGCGAGATTCGTTCCCGGCAGCTTGGACACAGTGGCTTGGACCTCGACTCTCCGCGATCGATGAACCTTTTGTGTCACCTTTCGCTCGGAGCGATTTTGTTGATATCTCGGAACTTTTCCATCAATTTTCTCTCTGTACACAAGATTTTAACCAGTACGTATTTGCGAACGATATATCAATTGAACAATGTCGCTCGGTGACATCGGATGCATATATAGGTTAGGAGACACAGAGTTGAGTGTCCCGTAAAACGTGTTTTCTAGAGACGGTGACTTGGAAAGATAATATATAAAAAAATTGATTAATAGGTAAAAGAAAATTAATTTCCATCGATCTTCTCGCTGTGCACAAGATATTAACGTACGTTTGCGAACAATATATTAATTGAACAATGTCGCTCGGTGACATCGGATAAATAATAGGTTATGAGATACAGAGTTGAGTGTCCTGTAAAACGTGTTTTTTAGAGACTTGGAAAGATAATACATATATAAAAAAATTGATTAATAGGTAAAAGAAAATTAATTTCCGTCGATCTTCTCTCTGTGCACAAGATATTAACGTACGGTTGCGAACAATATATTAATTGAACAATGTCGCTCGGTGATGTCGGATAACAGGTTAGGAGAAGACAGAGTGCCCGGTTGAACGTGTTTCTAGAGACGGCGACTGGAAAAATAATATATATGAAAAAAAATTGACCGAGGGGTACAAAAGGAAATTAATTTTTTTTCTTCAATCGCGTGGCTTTTCACGAAAGCGAATGAATTCTTTTGATTTCGCGAATGTGAAAGCGGTGTATATACACCAATATACACTTGTTATTTCAAGAGATGTAGTTTTTGATGTCTTAAATTTATTTCATGTACATTGTGTTGCAGCACTTGCTTGCAGTGTGATAAAGTGTTGTCTCGACCTTGTACTATTTCAGGATACTTAAAATGGCGAAACAGTTAAAAGCGCCAGAGAAAGTTGCGAAACTAAGGTCCAAGCCCAAGACGAGTAGCCCAAGATCCAGCTTGCAATTGCCAATCAATTTTATAATAGTTGTTGTGAGCATGGCCGTTGCCATGTGGTTCGGATACAAGGGATACTGCGAAACGAGAGTTAACACTCCATATGACGTAAACAAGGTATATAATTTGTTTTCGGAATTTTATACTTATTCCCAACATCTTGCGTTATAGATGTGAACTACTTGTCGATAATATGCGACAGAATAGAAAATATCAAGATACATTACTGAATAGAGTCTTCGAAACTAGGAGACGTAGATCTGATTATTACAATGTCTTGTTTCAGTAAAGAAACATTTGTTCAGATTTAATTGATGCAGAGATTAGTTTTGAAGATATTAGTGATGTAATGTACTTTTATACGCTTTTCTGTGCATACTGCGTGTACGATATTAGATATCTGTGGATGTGTAATCCTAATTTGTAATTGATTCGAATATTGTTTGAAAATCAGTGACACACGTTACTGAATAATCTCTTCAAAACTAGGACACATAGATCTAATTATTACAATGTCTTGTTCAATAAAAAAAAAGTTTGTCTTGATTTAATTGATGTGGAGATTAGTTTTGGAAATATTAGTGATGTACTTAATGTACTTTTACATTATCTCTGTGCATGTACATCAGATATCTGTGGATTTGTAATCCTAATTTGTAATTGATTCAAATATTGTTTGAAAATCAGCGACATGTTATCGAATAATCTCTTCAAAACTAGGAAACATAGATCTAATTATTACAATATCTTGTTCAATAAAAAAGAATTTGTCGAGTTTTAATTGATGTGGAGATTAGTTTTGGAAATATTAGTGATGTACTTAATGTACTTTTACATTATCTCTGTGCATGTACGACATCAGATATCTGTGGATTTGTAATTCTAATTTGTAATTGATTTGAATATTGTTTGAAAATCAGCGACACGTTACTGAATAGTCTCTTCAAAACTAGGACACATAGATCTAATTATTACAATGTCTTGTTCAATAAAAAAAAAGTTTGTCTTGATTTAATTGATGTGGAGATTAGTTTTGGAGATATTAGTGATGTACTTAATGTTACTTTTATACATAACTTTTATACACAACTTTTATATACATTTTCTGTGCATGTACGATATCAGATATCTGCAGATTTGTAATCCTAATTGATTCGAATGTTGTTTAAAAATCAGGTTGTTATTGCATCTGGACTGGATGTCCCGGACAGATATTGGGGCACCTATCGATCCGGTGTATATTTTGGTTTAAAAACACGGGACCCATACTCCTTGGTGACTGGTTTGATGTGGTATTTCCCACGTTTCCTACGCCACGACGGTACTGGATTTAGGCACTGGTGCGAGCAAGGCGATCAACTGGAAAGGTACTGTAGTCGGAATCACCTTCGGTCGGAGTAAAGTCTTTACCGACGCGACTAATCGATGTTTAAATTGTTAGATACGCGTGGTTGGAGCACGACGGGCGAACATTCGGCGTTCAGAAGATAGTAGACAGTTCTGTGACTATAAGAACGACATTCGTGAAGAAGCCCGGCGGGTATCACGGTGGCGATTGGACCGCGAGAATCGCAGTGTCGTCGGAGAAGAAGGAACGGATTGGCGAAGAGATATCGCTGTTGTTTTACAGCGCTATCGAGGAGGGCACGAAGGGTTGGATTAAGGCCAATCTAGGAGATTACAATCGTCTGACGGGAATAGAGGGAAACACGCAGGGATTGGGATCTTTCGCTATAAACCTGAATTTAGTGAATAGCACCATAGAAGAGCATTCCTTCCTGGCGACGGTCGCGCCCGGTCTGAACGTGCTGAAGGAGACGGTCCTGCAGAATCTCCGCGTTGCGACGCAGAAGGGATCCAACGAGAAGCACGTGGTTTTAGCGGGCGAACAGTTGCCGTTGCTGCCGGAGGGCAAGAAGAAGGATCCGAATTTTATCGTCACCCAAGTGACGGGGAAGATCCCACTCGAGATCGAGGTCAGTTACGAGTCTGGCAGTTTCGGCAACAGAGTGGACAAATTAACGGGCGACAACTACGACGAGGCTCTCGAGGCACGCAGGGAAGCGTTCGCGAAGAAGTTCGAAGGCGTTTTCAAGCTCAAGTCCAAGGGTTACACGGACGACGAGGTCGCGTTCGCGAAGATGGCCTTCTCGAATCTCATAGGCTCGGTGGGCTACTTTTACGGGACCTCGCAGGTGCAGAGTACGTACACCAAGGGACCCGTGCCTTACTGGAAGGCACCTCTGTACACTGCCGTACCAAGCAGAAGCTTCTTCCCACGTGGTTTCCTGTGGGACGAAGGTTTTCACGGTCTACTAATCTCGGCCTGGGACTTGGAAATCGAACTGGACATTATGAGCCACTGGTTCGATCTGATGAACGTCGAGGGCTGGATACCGAGGGAGATGATCCTCGGCCAGGAGGCCGTGGCCAAAGTGCCAGAGGAGTTCGTAACGCAGATCAACACGAACGCGAATCCGCCTACGTTCTTCTTGACGCTGGATTTTATGCTGCAGCGCAACGAGCAGGACCTGCTGCACAACTTCCGGCTGCTCGACAAGCTGTATCCACGGCTGCAGACGTGGTTCTCGTGGTACAACGTCACGCAAGTCGGCGAGCTGCCGAGCGCGTACAGATGGCGAGGCAGAAACGACAAGACCACCAGGGAGTTGAATCCGAAAACGCTCACGTCCGGCCTGGACGATTACCCCCGGGCCTCCCATCCGAGCGTCGTCGAGCGCCACGTCGATCTGCGTTGCTGGATCGCCTTCGCCGCTCGCGTCATGGCTAGAATCGCCGAGACGTTGAGCTACCCCGCCGCGAAGTACGAAGAAACATTCCAGTATCTGTCCGACAATAACCTGCTGAACAAGCTGCACTGGTCATCGAACGCGCAGGCATACGCCGACTACGGTTTGCACACCGACAAGGTGGTTCTGCGGAAGCTCGCGCCACCGCCGTCTCGTAAGCAGCAGCAGCAGCAGCAAGCTGCCAATGTGCAGCCGGAAATGCAGCGCGTCGTACTGGAGGATCCGTCTCTGAGGTTCGTCGACACGACCTTTGGATACGTGTCGCTGTTCCCGTTCATGCTGCAGATCGTCGAGCCCGACTCGCCGCAGTTGGGGAAGATACTGCAGGATCTGCGGGACCCCGATCTGCTCTGGACGAAGTACGGACTGCGCTCGCTCGCGAAAACGTCGCCTTTGTACATGAAATACAATACGGAACACGACGCGCCTTACTGGCGCGGCCCCGTCTGGATAAATATGAATTACTTGACGGTGCGGGCCGCGTATCATTATTCTAACGTGATGGGACCGTATCAGGAGAGCGCGAAGAGGATATATCAGGAGCTGCGAAAGAATTTGATACAGAATATTATTATGCAATACAGGAAGACCGGATACATGTGGGAGCATTACGAGAACACGGAAGGGAAGGGCAAGGGAAGTCACCCCTTCACCGGCTGGACTTCCTTGGTTGTACTACTTATGGCAGAAATATATTAAATGTCGCGTTGTGCGTGTGTGTGTATGTGTGTATATTGAATTCAAGTCAGTCGTTCAAAACTATTTTACCAAAAGTGAAATCAAAAGATACTGAAGTGTTCATTCAGAGTTAACATATGGATTTATTGACTTCACTTTGTGTGTTTAAGATAGGTAGAAAAAGTTTTGTTATTTTGTTTATTTTGTTATTATTATACGTTATGTGTATATTGCATTTTTATTTTTTATATTTGTTATATGGGAGTCATGGTATTGTCTGTGAAAGAGAAAAACATTTGTAAGCATGTTGAATTATATGTGTATAGGTGTACGATACACTCGCACATGTCATTTACATTTAATTGGAAAGCAGTACACTTTGATATCTTGATGGCCTAATATTCTTGAGCTCCGACATCCGCGAGTTCTAGATCGAAAATAATTGCGCTACTTACAATGTTTCTGTAAGTATTAAAATAAGATAACATTTGAATGTTATACAACAAGTTTTGTATTACTGTCATACATGTCTTTTTGGCACAGTGATCCAATGGAACGTTCTATATTCTTACTGCAGATGTATTTTATAGATAAGGCAAATTGTTTATTTTCATATATTCGAGTAAAAAAATTTTTTTTTCTTATTCTCATCATGAACTCTATATAATACGCTATAATTTGCAAAATCGTAAATGGGATTATGGTACTGTGTACGTACAATTGTCATGAAAAGAAGCTAGATTTCAAATCCTGGCTGTGATTCACTGAAAACTTGTATATTCTAATCCTAAGCTCTTGTTGAGGAAGTGCTATGTTTCATGATTGTAGAGCATAACTCGGAAACACGACACTTATTTTTTATGGTTCTGCAAAAAGAAGTTCTTACTATAATCTAATCATTGTTTTCAAAATGAAAGATTAGGCGCTCCATATGTGTATATAAATATACCATAATAAAATGTTATTTCCACATTGAGACGAAAAATGAATATACCTCTTTTTTCGTCCTCACATATAATTTTATAGCTGTATGTTTGTAGAAATTAATTTCACGCCATTTATCGTAAAGTAATTACATAATCCTGAGTTTCCTCTTTAAAAGAACATAATTTTAAACATATTTCACGTTTTTTAATTTGTTGTTAATAGTTAAAAAAATTAATTGTTAAAAAGATTCAGGCAATCTCAATCTTGAGTTATTTTTTTCTTAATATTGATTTTATATTTCTATAATTTCTAAATATTAAAATATATAGATGATTAAGAAACCTTTTATTTGTTCGAGAAAATTTTTACATCTAAATTTATAGCTTAATCTAAGAGATTAAAATTAGTCCATAACTTCATCTATGCATTCTAAGCTATAAATCTTTAAGAGCAACTAATTTAAATTGTATTTTCATTTAAGAACTCAAAGGTTTTTTTATAGCATTCATAGTGAATGGTTCTATCTATTATTTCATTTTCTCAAGATTTCAATAGATATTTTTTTTCAGAATCCTGACAAACTTTTGACATTCAAGCCACTCAATTTAAAAAATATAAAAGGAATATATATTTTTAAACAAATAATCATGGAATTAATCATAAAATATTATGGTAAATAACAAGCAATAACGAATGCTTTAAAGCATTAAATTATTGTTATCACAACATAATGTGCTAAAATAAATATTTTCTTTTCATTCGCGCATTTCTCAAATTACATTGAGTCATCACATAAAAAAATTTAATATTTATTTAAAGAATAAATTTTATTTTATTTTAATAGAAATAGTGTCTAAATAAAATCGTTTGTTATCATTAATTTCTGTTAAACTTATGCGAAAAAAATATTATGTATCATTTCAATAAAAGGAAAAATTACATTAAAGCCGTAAAAAATATGACATAATCTATTTATTAAAATAACACAATTTTGAATGCATAAAAATCTGAAAGAGATACAATAATAATTTTAATATCCAAATAAAGATAAGATTTATCCTTTATATTTTAAGAGCAGCTGTAGTAATTTTTTAAAATCAAGTAGATAATTAATAACCAATTATTTCAATTTTTATTAAAAAAAAAAGGAATCCAAACAATAAGGAGCGCAATAAATTTGTTAATATAGGACGATTCATTGAATCAATGAATCTTCCTATATTAATAAATTTATTGCGCTCCTTATTGTTTGGATTACTTTATTTATTTGATTTATTTTCTTTTCATCAACAATTCAGCCTTTTTTTGTCCACTCCTGGACACGAGTCTCTCTTATAGCGTTTTCGATTTGTTGACTCGATCCGACTCTGAGTCAAAATAGTCTGTTCTTTTTAGCGTTTCTTGTATACTTTAACTATTTTTTTATAGCTAAAAAGAACAGACCATCGATCGGAAGAGCACACGT